TTAATAGGACAGCATCTGTTAAACACTTGCATTAACCTCTAGCTGATAAAAAAGTTTTTTTAACCCTGCCCCCCCCCCTCGTTTTAATTATCTTATGGTTATGAAGGGGCAGCCAATCCTGGAAGAGGACTTCGACAATTAGCAACGAGAACATCAAAAAGTTTTATTGCGGAGAGCGAGAGGCACCGCCCCTGCCGCCCCGGGATTGGCGTGAGGAGCCTCTGACGACATATATTAACCCGAGCAGCCCTAAAGATGTAGCTGTACATGGAGATCTTGCTGGGAAAATCCGCTTCCTCCCCTCACGGCGTCCAGCCCAGGAGAACCGCCGCCGCCGCCGCCGCCACCCAGGAGCTCCCTCGGCCACTGCGCGGACTCCGCCGAGAACCCGAGCCGCCGCCTTCGCGCTCCGAGGCGCCCGCAGGGCCCCAGATCCTTCCCCTGAAAGAAGGAGAGGATCTGAGAAAATGGATGCACTGAGACCTCTCTGAAAACCCTCCGAGGGAGCCCGGGAGGAGTGAGGACACGTTGCCCGCTGCTAAAATCACATTTCCAGGACCAAAAACAACAACAACCAAAAATTTCATTAAAACAATAAGCGCCCAAGAACCCAGACCGGGCTGGTGGGGGGAGGGGAAGGGGCGGGAAGGGGAGGGTCGCACGGAGGTAGCTTCACAGTGAGCTGCCGACCCCGCCGCCTCCCTGCAGAGCCGGGCCGGCTCTTCCACCCGCGGCTCGGACTCGCCCTGGGATTCCGAGTTAGCTTCGGTGCCGGGATCGCGGCCGCGGTGGAGGCCGGCGACTCCGCGAAGCAGCCTCGCGGGAGCCCGGGCACCTTTGCATGAGCACGAGAGGATTCTGCCTCCCCGCAGCTGCCCGGGAAGCAGGAGCCGGCGCGCGGGCCGCGGAGCCAGGCGGGAGCCGGCGGCGGCCGCGGCCAGGGGCGCACGGTGCCGGGACCAGCTCGCCGCGCCCTATGGGGAGCCGGCGGCCGCAGTGCTGCTGAGGCA